CTGTGTGCCATTCTTCTGTTCCTAATAAAATGAAAATGCTGTGTTGTTGTTGTTGTCATCATTTTGCATCATCTTCCTTAATGCCATCTAATGGATTTTTCACTATCGTTTTCTTTACTGGGGGGTGGGGAGGGTAGAATTGTTCCTTTCTTAAATGCTACAAAAATCAATGCAAGGAAATGAAAGGAGCTGAAGGAAAGAAGATGGGAGCAGACTGTTAATTGAATCTCAGTTCCATTCTTGGAGCAAAGCCTGATTCTTTCCAATTCAGTAAACACAGTTCACTTTGGAATTCTTTATTCCAAGAACATTATACATAAGCAAGTAGATTTTACAGTCTGAAAACATAATAGTTTTAATTTGAATTGGATCGTTATCCTGCCCTAACTTTAAGATTCAGGGGAAAAAACAATTTAAAAGAAATTTGTTAAAACCTTTATGAAAAATAAAACCAAGAAAAATCTGCCATCTAAATAATTTTCTGCTCATACATGACCACAGTGATTGTTTGAACAACAACAAACTATTGACACAGGTGGACCTAACCACTTCCCAATATTCAGAGACAATTTAAATGTAAATACTCTAGGGACTACAGAATATCCTGCCTGTGCATACATGACATAGATGTTAAAGCTAGAATATGAGTTAGAATTTTAAAACTTTTTTTTTAATGCCCCCTATAACTTAGATTTCAGATTTGTGATTGTTTTTGCTTCCTTCATTTGAGGGACACCTTAAGTTCTCAGGTGAGAAAAACTGGGTCAAACGTTTAACTAATGCAATATGAGATATATCTCTGTGAGTTCCCACAGCGAGAACAATTACAGTAATAAAATTACTATTGAATGAAGAATGATTACATTATAAAGTCTAATCTAGGGTAAATGTAGGTTTGCTTGAAGTAAATCCAGCAGAGATACAAATCAGCTATTACATTTATTCATCTAAATCTTCTCAACTGAAGCAACATAACAAGATAAAATATCACAAAGTGTGCATAACTATACTTTGATTAGTGATTGGAAGATGTTGATGCAAAAATAGCCCTTTGGCATATTTGTATGGTATTTGCTATAAGAGTGCAAATAAATAAAAGGGAATCACTTGTGGCCAATTTGATTAGAGTGCCTTGGAAAATATATCATACATAGAGGATTTCTATGTGGTGAGTAAATAGTAAATTGTTTTCAGCTATAGCTACAAATTCACTCCTTGGAAATCAGATTAATAAAACAGATTCTTGAGCAATAATCTTAATGGAAGCCAACACAGAATTATTTAAAATACTCTATAAGACTGTATAAGGATGGATATAAAAGCAAACATATTTATTGTTGTAATTTAAGTGTTAAAAGCTATACTGACATAGTACATCAAATCTGTTTGAGGCAATGCCAGTCTGATAATATCAAGCCTCATTTCTACTTTTATTGTGAAATTAAATTTGGCAAATTTGCAATAAAATGTTTATTTTTACATCTTGATTTCTTATGGTTTAATTATTAGAGTGGATATTAAAAAGGGTTCATTTGTTAGTAAATTCAGATACTAGTTATAATGACCACCTTGAATTAAAACATTTTAGAGGACCAAATGAAGTTTGTTTCTCAGCAGAACCAACAGAAATGACCTGTTTTCCTTCTCTCTGTGCAGAGAGGTGAAAGGGCCACTTTGGGCGCTGAATTAGGAAGATGACAGACAAATGGCACTACATAATGTTATTTATTTAAGAAATGTATAAGTCACCTCAGTCTCAAAGACTAGCTAATTCAGGAGCACTAGCAATATAGCCAAAGCAGCAATAACATAAATGCAATAAAATTAAACATGCCCCTATATGATAATAAAGCAATAATAATATTCACACTGGTGCCAGACAATCCAATCCCAAAGGCCTTTCAGGACAGTCAAGTTTCTTCAAGCTTCCAAAAAACTAGGAGAGCATAGGCCATCCTTGCTTCAAGAGGCAAGATACCACCACGGATGCCTTCTTTTGAATGCCCTCCCATCTTCTTGGAAGGTGGAGACCCTCTACAGACGCCTTCTGTTCAGAAGGACTGAGCAGAATAGGTGGAGTCTGCCTGAGATAGGTGAATCTTAAATTATATATGGAACCATATTGGTAGCCAATACAGCTTCTTCAGTAGAGGCATTACATCTCAATAACAAGGCTGCTAGTCTAAGGGTTTCCAGGTGCTCTGCATAGGCAGCTCCATTTAAAGCAAATCACAATAATCCAGGGGGAGGTAACAAAGCTGTGAGTGACCATATTCAGTGCCTCGTTTTGTAGTAAGACCACAGTTGTTGCAGTAGTGGGAGCCAGATGAAGGCTTCTTCACCATGGTCTCCATCTGCTTTTCCAGTAGGAGCCATGAGGTCAGGAGCACCTCCAAATTGCCAGCCTGCTCTCCACTATTCCATTAAGGTGGTACAGCCCCAGAGTCAACAGCCTTCTAAAGAAATAGTCATTCTGTCT